TTTCTAAATTTATGTTTTGGGTAGAAATATATTCTTGATCTTTTTATTTTAGCTGAATCTTGAGTTGTATGTGGGACATTCCAGGCCAAATCGGAAATTATTTTGCTTTTGCATCTCAAATTTTTTTTAAACTTTTTTTTTCTTTTAGTACTCTTTGAAATGAGCTACCTTGATTTTTTTCAAATTTTTTCATAAAGCGGTTCAAGAGATACAGATTTTTGAAAAATGAAGTTTTTTACGTAAATTTTTTTTAAATGCTTATAACTCGGTCAAAAATTGATTAAATTGGAAGTTTTTATAATGAAAAGATTTTTTTTCACGCCCCACATAGCACAATCATTTTCTGCAAATTTGCGGCAAGTTTTCAAAGCCAAATTCGAAAACTTGCCTGGCAAATTTGCGGTAAATACCAAAATGTCCGTTTGGTGGCAAGTTTGCAGAGCAAATTTGCAGAAAATTTGCATGGCAAAGTAAATGTTAAATGCATGCGCAGTAGTTTTCTATGACATCTAAAGCTGCGCACTACATTTATGTCACCTTCCCTGTCAGGGAATGCAACGTTTATCAAAATACTTACATTTTGAATACAAAAAGATTTTTTTTGAAATTTTTAGGTTTTTTGAAAGTTTGCTACAAATTTTTTTTAAGTTTACTACAAAATTATCTGCAAGTTTGCCACGCAAGTTTTCTGCAAATTTGCTCTGCAAACTTGCCACCAAACGGACATTTTGGTATTTACCGCAAGTTTGCTGCAAATTTGCCAGGCAAGTTTTCAAATCTGGCTTTAAAAACTTGCCGCAAATTTGCAGAAAATTATTGTGCTATGTGGGGCGTAATTTGCAATAAAAATATTTGTAAATAATTTATGATAAGATTTAAAAATTTTTAAAATAAAATTTCATTTTTAACAATGTGTGTATTGGTTAATTTTTTTTCAAAATTTTTTGTAAGAAACTAGCACTAAATTAACAATTTTTAAGTCTTGTCCGATCGTATGCAAACACAATTAATAAATTGTACCTTAAAAGAAAATATTTAGCAATTTTAATTTTCAATCATTTTAAAAAATTATTTTAATGAATATATCAAAATTGAAAAAATAAAAAATTTATCAAAATCTTTTTTTTTAAATTTGACATGTTTATATTATGTACATTTCTCATAAATAAGAATCCCTTTATTTATGTTTCTTACCCTGTAAAAAAAAAAGTATTGGGAGGTACGGGATTCCGTATTGCAAGTGCCAACCTGCCAATGCGGTATTTGCGAAATACCGCATTGGGTGTCGTGGTGAATACGGAAATCAAGGGGTCCCAATGCGGTGCAAGTTTTAAGCTTTAAAAAAACGAAAATACGTGACAGGAGGAAATAATTAGTGTCAGTGGAGAAATATGCGAGTTAAAGGAATGAGAAAATAATAATAGTGAGTGTAAAAATGAAACTTTAAGAAAAAAAGGTAAGTTGAACTGTCAAATATGAGTCCAATGCGGCGTAGGCTGCTTTCAATGCGGTACACAATCGGTACATAGTGCAAGTCGCCAGTAGAGGGCAGAAGCAAGCAGAGGGAATCGAGCGAACACAGTGGCCCAGCTGAGATATGATTTGCATTACATTACTTTCCAATTTTTTATTTTATAACCACGTTTCTGCATGAATCTAAACAGTATTTTCGATTATTGTAATTTAGAAGATGCTTACCAATTGTACGTTGGCAGATTTAGTGAAAAGTGTCTGTGTACGGAGACAAATGTGTTAGAAAATGTTTGTTTACCTATTTCACGCCATTCAAACCAGTCAAAGTTGCTTTTGCTGTGGCGCATTGAAATCAGCCTATGCCGCATTGGGCCCATATTTGACAGTTCAACTTACCTTTTTTTCTTAAAATTTCATTTTTACACTCACTATTATTATTTTCTCATTCCTTTAACTCGCATATTTCTCCACTGACACTAATTATTTCCTCCTGTCACGTATTTTCGTTTTTTTAAAGCTTAAAACTGGCACCGCATTGGGACCCCTTGATTTCCGTATTCACCACGACACCCAATGCGGTAATTCGCGAATACCGCATTGGCAGGTTGGCACTTGCAATACGGAATCCCGTACCTCCCAATACTTTTTTTTACAGGGTATATTTAACTTTCATTATTACAAAATATCGTTTAAATTACTTGACAAATTGAATTACTAATTCCTAGTTTTTTTATGCTGTTAGTCTTTTACGTAGGCAACCTTCACAACATTTCTGGACACTTTCTTCCACAAGTCACATTCAGCTCTCAATTTTTATGGTGGAAATAAGATTGTGGCTTATAAAAACATCATATCGAAACAAAATAAATTTTAATTAGGTAATTCTTTATTTATTTTCGGTTTACGGTAAACAGCTCTTTTTTTGAGAAAGTGTCAAATTATTTTTTAAAAATTGACAAAGTAAAAAGTTTCATAAAAATCAGTCGAAAGTGTTGGATATAATTTAAAAAGAAAGAATAAGAGCAGATACTTATAGAGAAAAGGGCTCTTTATTAAACTTCTATATATGAAATAAGGTTTTAAGTAAAAATCTGCCTGTTATTACAAACAGGATTATACGATGTTTCTACGAGCGTCAATATTATTTCCGCTATACAAATAATTGACAGCTTTGATGTCGGAAATAAACTTATATTACCTGGTCGCCTATAGAAAGGGATTTTAAAATAGTAGAATAAGTAATTATTGTTTTATAATAGAAAATTTAGTAGCTCCAAATTTCTTTTAATATCTCATATAATTGAGGAATAAAAAAACATAATTAAATTAATTATTTGGATACAAAGGAATAAAATAAAAATTTTTATAGACAAGAAAACATGATTAAAGATAATTTAACAAATATATAAGGTAAAAATTAATACTTTTTTTATGATTTTGTAATTAATAAATAATTTTTAATTTTATATAATTTTCCAATTACTAATAAACTAATTTGCCTAAATAATACAAAAATATTCAATAAATTTTAGAAATAATTTAATTTTTTCAAAATTCTGTGTATTTGTCATTTTTAATATTTTTATTAATTATACAATTTAATAAATTGTACCTCTAGAGGTACTAATTAGCAATTTTAATTTTTAATCATTTTAAAGAATTATTTTAATGAATAACAAAATTAAAAAATTTTTTTTTCATATTTTTCGTTTTAATTTAACATATTTTATATATTATGTATATTTTTATAAACAAAAATCCCTTTATTTACATTCTTTATATTAGTTTTTATCATTGCAAAATATTATTTTTATAATTTTCAACAAACTAAAAGTTACTGCCCTGTTTTATCATACTGTTATGCCTTTACGTAGGCAACCCGCTTTACTCCACCTTTCTGTTGTGCGGCCATTCTTTCCCCAAATCAAGTCACCTACATCTGTAAATTGTCATTGTAATAATCATATTGTAACTCATAGAAACATCGTATCGAGACAAAGTAAATTTTTACTAATTCTTTATTTAATTTTATACTAAGGTAAAGGCCCACTTTTTTGATTAAGTGCTTAGTTTTTTTTAAAAAGTGATCAAAGTGGAAAAATGCAGGAAAGTGGGTTGGCAACACTGACAGTTCTCGACCTCCAACGCTATTAATGCTGTTTAGAAACAACCCAGTAAGAAACGAAAAATTGAAAAGTATTAAAAAGATTCTATTCTTTTAAATGCCATTTCTGTCCAATGCTTTTCTATCCAGTGAGAGCAATATAAATAGTAACGATATCAATCCTCTTGAATACCCAGTAAGAAAGCAAAGATTAAGAAGCATTAAAAATTGCTATTCTTTTGAATACCATTTCTGCCCTATGCTTCTGAATTCCGCGATAGTAATATAATAATATAATACTAATATTGTTGACATTGCATAGAATGTTCAATTACTTTCAAATAACTGCACTCATGACTTTATTTGCTATTTTAAAAAGGAATAATTATTAAATTATCAGTTAAGAGGGTTAAAAGTGTTTAAAGGTCTCTGAAATTTTTAGGTTATGATTTATTGTCTAACAGAATAACGGCCCTGACTCGTTTAAATGACGTTAAATTGGTAAACAATCAATTTTTCAGCAAGTTTTTCTTTGAACACAAACACTTTTTACAAAATCTGCCACTGTATGTATCTTATAAATTACAAAAATCCAGAAGATTGCTTGAATGCATGCAGAAACGCGGTTCCAATGAAAAATTGAAAAGTGATATAATGACAGGCAGTAATAATTTCGGATGGGATTGGAAAGCATTCAGAAAAAAATTTTGTCTTTGTTAAAAATTACAAAAAAAATTGAATAGCATTCATTTTTAGACGAAACGTGGTCCTATCATGGTATAGAAAAGTATTGGACAGAAATGGCATTGAAAAGTATTGGATAATTTCTACTACACCATACAGAGTTTGAATTATTTCAATCCTTTTCAATTTTTCGTTTCTTACTGGGAAGTGCATTAAAACAAAAGAACCTCAAATGTCCCAGTTCTGCTTATTCACTTTTAAAAGTGAATTACTGTCATGCATAGCATGAAACGCCAATGAATATTACATATAAATAAATAAAAAATGCAAAAAATTAAACTTTGATTTGCTTTAAACAGGATATGTGCAGGTATTGAAATGGCGGTCTAGTGATAATCTAGTAACTTTATCCTTTTATTTTGATAAAATAAGAAAACTTTTTTTGGGGTACAAATGGATAAGAAAGAATTTCAACATAGATCTATATAGATAGAAATTAAAAGATATAAAATGATCAAAAAATGTTTCTTTGGGATGGATTTAAATAGATAGAAAATTCTGGATAGAAAAAGATAATTTTTAAAAGTTGCAAAGTATATACATACTTAGTAAGGATAGAAAACTTTTATCCATTCTTATCCATCAGTTTTTATCTACTTCTGTCTTTCTACTTTCAACAGGGTATATACGGATGTTAGATTAACATGTTTCATGAAAAAATAAGTATCTTATACTTTACCTTCGATAAATAAAGCTGGCTCTAAATTTCGCAATGTCTTGACTAGGTGCATGAGGACGATGTATAATAAAGGTATCAGGAAGAACGACATATCTATAATAAAGAAAATATCAGCTCATCGATTACTCTGTCCTAACTTAATGTAATTAAATAATGAATGACATACAATTTTACATTATATTTATTTATATTTATGGGGCCTTAAGTGACCAATATGAAAATGAAAGTTATCAGATCAGGTAGATATTTTTTCACACTTTAATACTATCAGTGATTACTTTTCTACTAACCAGCAGATCTGATGTAAACCTGTTATTCCAGATCTGGAATGGATCTAGAATTTTACATGGTCCAAAGCAGAACCAGACTTGGTAACCAATTTAACAGTATGCATGTACCAAAAGTACTATACCAATTGCACTAAATAATGAAAAGTCGGTAAGGTAAAACCGATTGAGTCCTTGAACAGGTAGGGAAACCAGGATGGCGACAAATGCGACATGGTGGATTCCACGTCAGTTCAACACACTAATTTTCATGACTTGTTGGGATTTGGCTGTACTTTTGCAAATTTATTACTTTTATAGTAATAAACAACTCCACCAAATAATATTTCAAAATTTTGAAAATTACCAAAAATATGGCATTTTTAAAATTTTTGTCTTTTTTTAAAAGTGTTATAACTTTGGTTCTAATTAACCGATTTTGGATTTTCAAAAAAGGATTTCTTTGGTTTTAAGTATATTTTAAGTTAAAATTAATATAAAGAATAACAATTCAAAAAAGTTTTTTTTTTGAAATTTTGAAAAATAGAAAATCCATTTTTGAAAAAAAATCATCTTCGATTTTTTCAAAATTTTACTAAATGTTAGGGCAAATATGCTTTACATGTCCTGTAAGTTTTATCTTGGGATCTCAAAGGGATTCGGAGTAAAAAAATAAAATGTAACCACGTGTACCGGCGATAATGCTATAATGTAGCGCATGCGTTACGAACATATGGAGCAAAATTCCACAACTGCCCAGGTCGAAAAATGAATTTTCTTTCTAAACTTTGCTACCCTACTAAAAATAAAATCAGGAATGGTCAGACAAATGGTCAGGCCGCCTGACCACTTTAATCCAGTTTTCTTACGATTCTGGATGGATCTCGTCAGAAATCTATCACAACTGATCAGGAGGAAGTTTAAAGTGGTCACAAGTTTGCTACTATCCCCTCCTCTTTGTTGACCACGCCCATAATTGGTGACTATTTGAGACCATTTGTATCTCATTTTTGACCATATTTTTAAGCCACTTCTGTTTTATTTATTTAAACAATATGCAAAAAGTTGCAACAAATTAATTTTAAAAAATATATTTTATTAATTAATATCAGTTTGTTTACATACGGAACAACTTGAAACTAATTCCCGGAATTAAATTAAAATTTGGACCCTACGGGGATCGAACCCCGACGCATGACCTAACCTAGTGCCTAAACTAACTGCCCTAACGACTGCGACTACCGAACCGACTTACATATTTCTGGATTCAACTGTCTATATAAAGAGCAACTGTAAAATAGTAAAATTCAATTACCAATATTATCAATAGGGTAGAGTGGGGTAAAAAAGCCACATTTTTACTTTTGATGCTGTAAAATCTGTATTTAAAATTTTTTTCTCAAATTTCCAATTGTTATTGAAAGTTTAGTTATTAAGCTTGAAAATTCTTGACGAAAATAATTTTTATCTCATGAAAGGACTAAGTTATAAGAGTTTTACGAAAGCACTGTAAGTGGCTTTTTTGCACCACCTGGTGGGGTGAAAAAGCCACCCTACGATTTTAGCAAAACATGTTATCAATTTAGGTATTTTTATAGTTTCTCTTTATTTATATGACAAATAGTCTTATTTGAAAAATATTTTAATAATTATGAAAGAGTTTTTAGCAAGCAAAATTGAAAAATATATTAAGTTTACCTGTTTTCGATTTGCACTGCCAATTTTTCGTACCTTTTTTAGAAGTTCTCTTTAAGTTTCACCACAGATAACATATTTCGTTGCAACCGTTTATTCATTGTTTATTTTTTAAATGCACTTTGAACTACTTTTTCGTCGTGTTTAATTTATTTTATTAAATAAACACGAGAAATTTTGTAAAATAAGAAGGTTAGTTTAAATAGAAAACAAGTGAATTTCACAAAATATTCAATGGATTTTTTGCCCTGGCTTTTTTACACCCAAGACCAGTTATTAAAAAAAGCAAAAATAAATTGTTAATTCAGTTCAATTTCCAAAAATTAACATTGTATACGTTTTCGTTATACTTTTCTCCTTATGTACAAACATTTACTTTTATTATTCGTTCACTTAATCAGGTTGTAATATGTTTGAAAAGTTCACCAAAATGTTTTCAAAAAAGCAACAAAAAATTAAAATTACAATAAAAACAATATTAATCTAGGTACAACATTCAAATTAGATTCAAAAGTTGCGTATTACCTAATAGTATTTATATTCTAAACAGCTGATAAATCGGCTTAATAGTTTTTAAATAAAACTCAAATGGCTTTTTTACACCATGGCTTTTTTACCCCACTCTACCCTAAATCAGAATAAACTGTTAAATAATTTTTATTAATTAATTATATTTCAATTTAATCATAATAGGTTATGTGAATTAATAAAAATTAACATTATTAATTGAATCAATAATAAATTAAGTCTTAACTTTACAATTTGGAATGTTTCATAAACTATAATACGAATACAGGTTAATAATAATTATTATTATATCTGCATTTAAAATGAATTTAGTATTTAATATTAATTTAATTTAACATTATAATTTATAATAATAATGAATTATCACAGCCCCACAAAAAAAGAAAAGTACCCTGCGCGAAAGTCCACAGTACCATACCCCTATGTATTTTGATGCGCTGAACACGAATCCAAAGTCAGATTTGCTCCATCACGTCAGGATTTTTTTCTAACCTCAAAAAACATGTCAGATTTTATGTAATTTATGTAAAATACAAAATTTTTTAAAAATTGATTAGATTTTTCTCAAACTTGTTTTTCGGGGGTTTTTAAGATCGCTGATTACGAATCTGCAGTCAGTTTTTAAAAATTCAAAATAGCGGATCCAATATGGCGGCCAAAATTTAAAAATTTGGTGGATTTTCACTTTACTTGGTAAATAGGGGTTTTCGGGGTCGCTGATTACAAATTTGCAGTCAGATTTTAAAAATTCAATATGGCGGTCATTTTTTCGAAAATTGATTTCTTTTGCTTTAAAATGGGTACTCACTGGTTTTTCGGATCGCTGATCACAAATTTCAAATCAGACTTTAAAAATTTCTAACAACTGGTCCAATATGACTTGATATGCAAGCATTTTGGGAGTCGGTGAATTTAAAAGTTTCGAAAAGTTTGTTGGTAAACATTTATGCAGCAGGAAATGCAGATTTTTGGTAACCTGAATGCCTAAATTAAAATGTATTTATCGAGACGACATCTAGGAACATTTCTAGAGAATTAGGCATAATTTCTGGATGAAGTTCAATTCAACAATTGCAGAATACTTTTCTCTTGAACGCAGGCCTGCTAGGACATAATACTGTATTGTATTTCCATTGTGCTTTGGCACAATATAGACCTTTTCATTTAAGACCGGAAGTTGAAGCTACGCCATGACAGACGGCGCGATTTCAAAATTTTTGAGCAACTTTGTGTCAGAATGTATATTGTGCTAATAACAATTCAAATAAAAAACTCGATGAAAATGATATTCCAGAAGCTAAATTAATATTTGAACAGGTAGAGAAAAATACTGTACACTGTAAAAAAAATTTCTGTAGATTTACAGTTTTGTTTAGAATTTTATAAAAACTTGTAAAATAACTTCTTTAAAAGTAGTGAATTTAAAATCCCTTCTGTAAAATTAATACTTTTAATGTGTCAATTTTACAATTTTCTGTAAATTTACTACTCTGAATGTAGGTAATATTTTTGTCTTTTTATTACCTATATTCAGAGTAGTAAATTTACAGAAAATTGTAAAATTGACACATTAAAAGTATTAATTTTACAGAAGGGATTTTAAATTCACTACTTTTAAAGAAGTTATTTTACAAGTTTCTATAAAATTCTAAACAAAACTGTAAATCTACAGAAAATTTTTTTTACAGTGTAGCTGTCAATTAAAAATATGGTTATAAAGCCGAAGTCAGTGTTTAAAGGGTAAAAAAGTCTATATTGTTTACATGTAAATAAGGTTATGTTATGTTATGAACATAACCTTACCCAAAGGTCTCATTTTTGATATAGTTGACAAGTTTTGCAATTACTTCGAATATTTTCATTCCTAATATTTCATTTTCTAAATGTTAAACGGTTTTGGAAAAAAAATAAAGTAATAATTTTCAGTCCAATAATACTTGCAACGAGCATCACTTTTGCAATTCCCAAAACAATATTTTTTTTTTGCATCAATTTTTTTCCTTTGTGGATTATTTTTCTCAGGGATACTGCTCATTTTTAATACACGCTATTTTTTTCTACATTTATTAGTAATATTTTTTAATTACTTTTCACTATTAGCACTGTGCATTTTGTACAAAAAGTGCTCGAAACTTTGTTGGAAGTTATATATATACTCCGCGCTTGCGCAGTACAGATTCCTTAAATGAAAAGATCTATTAATCCTGCTGCTTCGATAGATGTAGTAGGCGACGACAACTGCCCCGAAATGGGATGTGTAGAATGATTTGCTTCCTGTCTATCGAAGTAACGAAGCCAGCGAAGGCGCGCTGCCTTGCAGGAGGACGTTAGGGTGTGAGGATGATACCGTAGTGTGTCCGACGACGAGTTGATAATGTCCTCGTCAAAGTCGGAAAGCTCTCATACTTAGGCCTAGGGAGGTATGAGGGTTATCACCCCTAGGACGGTGGACTCGCCTGCGATCGGACCAGGATCCCTAGCGTGCGGTCATTTTCCTAAATATCATGGCTTTCAAAAATCAAAACAATAAAAAAACTTCAAACGCTTCAAATGTTCTTTTTGGAGTGTCAACCTCACAACATACATGTGACAGCAAAGCAGATG